ATCATATGGTGAAAAAACTGACTTTGACAAATAAATCTGTTCTTTTTTTCTTATAAAAGTCAAAATAAAACACATTATCTGTAGTAAATTTTAACTGTGTAACTTTACAAACAGCTCCACACTCCTTTGTGTGTTGATCCCTGATGTGAGTCTGTTGTGATGATGAATCAACACATAGTAATGGCGGTGCCCCTCCTCTCAGATCACGTGACTAACCCAGGCAGCACCTGAAACCTGCACGGGGACGTACTGAGAGCATGACGTCAGTTCCTTTGAAAAGGTGTGCCGTTCAACGAAAACCTCTCAGCAGACATTTAGGAGGCAGTTTGTGCTTGAAGACGGTGAAAAGAGCTGACACAACACAACACAACACAACACAACACAACACAACACAACACAAACATGGATCTGAAGCTGCTTTTCTCTCTTCTGCTCGCTTTGTGTTGGTTTTCAGCCACAACATCCTCACCTGGTAAGTTTGTTGCTCAAGTCCTGCTGGATACTTTACTAAAATAGTCTGAGAATAACTTTATTTTTAAAATAGTAATAGTAATATTATTCTTGTGATAGTAAAGTGGTTTATTGTTAACAGAGTTTTAAAACATGCTGATTTTGTGAAGTTAATACTGAAAACAAGCCAAAGTCAAACCAGACCTTCCAGCAGGAACCAGTTCTTTACTTCAGGTGACTTCTGAGATTTGTTTGTGTAGCTGGACTATATGTGCTGCTGTTTGTAAAGTTACAGTCAAAATTACCACAAATAATTTGTTTTATTTAGACTTTTATAAGAAAAAAAGAACAGATTTATTTTTTAAAATCAGTTTTTCACCACATGTAGGGCTGTGGATAAATGTTTAATCTTACACCAATATTAAATCTGACGGTGGATTCCAGAAGAACATTTCAAACCTACAAAATAAAACCAAAATCATGTGATTATCTGAAGTCTGAGGGAAGTTATTGATGTTTGTTCAGGTGAAATCAGCTCATGTTTTCTTGCTGCAGTTCACAGCAGAACCAATGGGATCATTTCACCTTCTTGTTTTCTAATTTTTCCCATAACTTCCTCAGTGTTTAAGATATCAGCATGAAATTTAAGGAAAAGATTCACATTCTGGTTTTGTAGGAAGCATCTTGTATCCTAAAAATTAATAAAACTTAATAAAAGCCAATTCAAAAGTAGCAGAAAAGGTATAAAATAACATTACAAGGCAAACTGTAGCATCAAATCAACTTAATGTGTTTTTAGAAAGTAAGGAAATTAAAACCCTCTCCTTGGGCTGCTATCTTATCGTGGTGGAGGGGTTTGAGTGTCCCAATGATCCTAGGAGC